GGATTAATGATTCACTGAAACCCATACGGACAGCGGTACTGGCAACGACAATCTCCTGTACCTTAGAGGACTGACTGCATTCACCAGTACAGCAATGCCCCGAAAGTTGTTGTCATCGCTATACTAGAAGTAATTTGTAGTAGTCGTAGTTGTGCGGTGAAAGCAGCAGAGGGAAGCAGTTGCCCAACAACATTACGGTCTTTGTTGCTACCAAGTCGACGTTGGCTCTTTTATTGGTCTACTGGAACTTTGCAAGTCTGTTCGCAGAGTGCGATCTCAGGAGTCCCACCGTGGGCCTGACCACATTCTTTGCAGACTTGGGCCCACTGCTCTGTGCTCCGTTGCAGACTGAGACTTCGGGTACCTTGCAGGGTCGGAGTGATCTGGCAACTCGAAGCCCCTGTCCAGGTTGCGACGTGCGGCCGACATCGGAGCAAGGCCACGATCTGTTGCGTGTGACCCTGCTCATGTGGGCTTAGAGTCGCAGCATGTGACTGGTCAGGCAGCGGCGTGCCAAGGCCGAGGCTTGCGGCTTGCAGGCTGCGGAATCGATTTCATGCCTTGCGGGGTGTTCTTGGGAAGGACTCGACCTTGCCTTCACCGCCCAAAGCGCCTTTGGCCTCGCCCGGGCCTGTCGATTCTTGCCCTCAGGCAGGCTTTGCACTTGCACTTTGCAGGCTAGCGGCCCCAAGCTTGCCAGCCACACTTCTAGAGGAGGCCGCGTACGAATTCTGTATCACAACAGTGATAGGAGGATGCAGGGCAGAATGCAGGCGGTGTCAAACCCCTGTCTGAAGGCGCGACCGCTAGAGCCTCTAGAAGGAGAAGTCGTGGTGGGTCAGGCGGATGCAAGAACCTTAGGGAAGCAGCATGGTTCTTCGTGCAAGAATGCCAGCCAGTCGTCGCGATTTCGGAACAACTTTCTCGCAGGCTGTGGCGGTTGAGACAATCAGCATGGCCATGAGACTAAGTCCTGATTTTCTTGCCGCTGTTGCGCATGATCTTTGCCCGACTCCGGCTCAGGACATCGAGTCTGGAATGCCCAAACCCCCCAGTCCGAATCTGGCAGCCTATGTCTCAGCAGCAGGAACTTGTCGAGATGCAGAACGACTTTTTCCGCAGCCTTCTGCAGTTCCGGATGCCAGGCATTGATGCCAGAAGCTTTGCCAGCGACTCCACCTCCAGTGGCATCCGAGGCCTTTCGGACTATTTCAGTTCATTTCAGTTCAAACCGTAGTAAGTAGTAAGTAGTCTGATTCCTTCTTGATCACGCTGCATGCGGTGCGTGTATATATGGTTTGCAGGATTTGAGCATTGTCGGAAGGTTGCATTGCATGCCGGGCAGCTCGAATCGAAAGAAACCAGAATTGATGGCCTGTCTCTATAGCTGCTCGACGAATACACATCTGTCTCAGGCCGGTGCGGCATCTCCTGCCTGGACCCTGGACCCGGTGGGGTTCGCGACGGGACGAAACACCGCAGCCTTGCGGCCCATGGATGGCCCGCAGATTGTACCAAGGCGGAGGCAGAGCAGCTTCCTGTGGATGTACCTGGCAGCCCCAAGGTTGGGAAGCAAATTCAAATAAGATTGTCTCTGAAGTGATGTGGAGTCTTCAGTGCTCGGGGCTGAGCAGGACCTGCCGGCAAATGCCAGCCCCGGACCCGCCGGACCAGAGGTTCCGGCGCTGTTAAAACTGGAGAACTCCAGCAAGGCCTCAAAGTGACAGGCGGCCCGAGAGTCTGGCGAGCCCGCGCTGCAGATGCCAGAGGCCGATCAAACAATGCATCTACGTACAGCGTACATAAAGTAACAAACCACCTAAGATGGGGAGCTAGCGCTCTTGCTTGACAGGATGTGGATGCAAAGACGGATGCTCTGCAACAAGAGGCCCCCGACAGCTCAGTCACGTCGTGCGCGCGCTTCTGCTTGCCCACCTTGGCTGAAACAGTCCTAGGCTTGGGGGGGATCCCTCCCATCCATTTCCCGGCGGCCTGAATGGTAAGGAGAGATTAGCTCTTTAGAGGCGTGTGGGTGTTGGGGTGTTGGAGGGAGATAGGCTCTTCAGACGGGTGTGCGGAATAGCACGGTAGCAGTACAGTGTCTAGTACAGGTTTAGGTCTTCCTTCATACACAACCGCAATCGACGGTCTGCCACAATGCGCTTTCTCCGGTCTGTCGCTATCATTGACTATAGCAGACAGCAAAAACCAAACAACTCCGCCGGGCCAAAAGCATCGCTTCATTCATGGAAGACGGTCAAACAAAAATGACACGGGTGAATAAGCCGCCGGAAAAGACTAAAACTAAAACGCATTACAGACGCACGCTTAAACAAGGTAGCAGCGTCTGTAGGGCGCCGTGTGTTTTGTGGGATATGTGAAAAGAGGCTGTGGTGAAACGTGCGAACGGTTTACAAAGGTCAGACGAAGAGTCTGAGAATCTCCGAGACTGTGTGTACTTTTCTACGATTGTCGATATTTTCCCACACATTGAGACACATTTTTTGGAGCGGGTCAGGGAAAAGTTTGTGTTGGAGGCACACAACTGCAGGAAAGTTGCGCTTGTGGCGGACCGGAGTGTATTGAGCCACAAAGTTGCGTTTGTGGCAGAGCGGAGTGTGTTGAGCCACAAAGTTGCGGAGTGTGTTGAGCCACGAAGTTGCGTTTGTGGCGGTTGTGGCGGAGCGGAGTGTGTTTTGCCACAAAGTTGTTGTGTTTGCAACCAGAGAGTTCGAAAGCAATGCGTTATGAGAGATGATATGACACGGTCACGGTATGAGATGATACGAGATGCAGCCGAGACTGCAACCAGAGTGTTCGAACAAAAATGTGTGACGAGAGATGATATGACATGGTATGAGATGACTCCGGGATGACCATGGTCGAAAAAATGCACAGAGGAGAGAGCGCATGCTCTCGAAGCCCGGCATGGTTTAGGCAGAGATGCTGCAAGCAAAACTGGCAGCAGTGGGAGCACGCCGGAAATCCCGCCAGAGCGGAGTGATGAAATGCGGTCCAACAGGACGTTCCCAAGCCCCACCCCCCCACCCCACCCCTCATAACATGTAGTCCAAAACCCTTTGGAAGCTGCAAAAAGCAGTCTCGGCACCCTAGGGGCGCCGTCACCTTAAACAAAGGCCAGTGCGAGAGCATAAGCAATTAGCAAGAGGCCGCGAGATAGATGGTGCACAAACTTGGCAGTGAGAAGCAGGGTAGGTACAGTATGCGTGCAGAACCTTGCTGTGCTCGAGCTTCGCCACCCATGCATCTTCGTAAGACATTCGGATGTGCTTCTTCTAGCCCTCCCTTGATAACACGAGATGTCGATCCTTCTCCCGCCCTGCACAGGTGCCGGCTACCGTGCCAATCAACGATCTCGTCGACGAAGAGGCCAGCGACTATTGTGATGCGGATGGTGTTTCCTCGGATGCACTCACCCACTCAGCTGTTATGCTGAGGGTGGCCCGAAATAAACAGAATCGGAGTGTTCCTCACCAAGTCAGCAGGTCGCAAGCTTGCCGCCAGCAAAGCGACAAGCTCAGCAGAGCAGCGGAGAACCCGGCCAGATTCGACACCTTGGCAACTCAGCGTGCGCAGCACTGATCAGCACGACAGGTGGGGATCTCGTTGCCATCAAGGTGCCGCAGGAGTTCGCCGAGGCACTTTCAGACATGGTCCAGACACGGTTCCCGAATAGATGCACAGATCTGCCGGGTTCACGACTGGCGAATGTATGCATGTTCTCAGCCTGGTGCCACAGAAGGTCAAAATAGAGGAGGATGTCGAGGTAGACTTTGACAAGGTCTCTGCGAAGCAGGCCAGCTTGCCTTGATCGCAAGTCGTGCCACCGCTACCAGACAAATTGGTGGCTTCAGGGCAGGGAGCTTCGAACATCACTTCTGGAGGCCATGACAGTTGCAAGCATCGGAAGCTGATGGCTTGAATCGCTTCTTCCAGCTGTCAGCTGCTGGTCAAGGATTCCACGCTGTCCTTTCTCGACCTGTGCGATTTGGACCATTGCAGTGCAGAGGTGCTCAGACAGCTGTTGACGGAGCCACAGGTTCCGTTCATAAAGCGAATCAGGCTGCCGCATGCCGCTTTGTTGATCTCCTGTCCCTGCATATGACCGGCGCAGTGTCACTGAAGCAGGAGAGCTTTCGCAAATGGGTCAGCCTTTGAGCATCAAAGCGCAGTATACGCAGCAAAAGGACAAGCCATACGAAGACATCGCGGTTGTGAGAGGAACATCCTGGGAGGCACTCGCCGCCTTTGAAGGCCGTCTAGACGTGGAGAATTCTTGGGAGCGCAGGCTTGGTGCGAAGAGAGCAAACGCGGTACCAAGAGCCGGGCTTGGTGTTTTGACTGCAGCTCTTTGGGAAAACTCTCCAAGAGTGCCGGCTGAGGCGTGAGTCGCTCCTTGAACCGGCTGGCAGCTGAAGCCTGCAGCAGGTGGTTGGGACGGGGTCGTCCCGGAAGAGACTCAGACGCCAAAGGCTTTCATCGGCTTCCAAGTCGAACACTTCCGGGGTTTCACTCCGGGGAGCATTGGAGTGAATGGGAAGGACAAACGTCCAACTTAAGGAAGTGTGCGGCCAGTCCACGAGCACGAGACACGTTTGTTTGGATTCAGAACAGTGGTTGTAAACTTGCCTCACACGGCCAACCCAGTGTCGGGGACCAATGTGTGATTGTGTGCTTCGCAGGGCCGCGAGACATTCCTTCTGATACAAATCTCAAACACTGCTAGACCCCGATAGAGTATTCACAGACATGGCGCGACCGGGAGTGTGGACTAAAGGAATGTTTCTGCGTACGGATCGTGCTAATGCTTCACGGGCCCGAAGGCCTTGCCACCCAGTGCCAGGAACATGTTCTACGCTTTCAGGGGAAGTTGTAGAAGCCTGGACACACGCTGCGGTGACGAAAAGCTCTTGGAATGAAGTGACAGTGCGGACTTGCGGCCTAGATCTGATCAAGAGCAGTGGCAGCTCACGCCCGAGGCCTGTATCCATCAAGGACAGGTGGAGGACCTGCAGCAAAGAGACATTCTGTCGTCAGCCTGGGGTTAAGATGCACCAAGCTCTTGCGCGCATGCACTTGGATCAAGGGCTTGCCTTAGGAAGAGGGTTATGAACGAAAACTCGTACGTCACGTCACGTCACGAGTAAGATCGTGGCAGAAACATATCACGTTGCATCGCCGAGACCATATATTGCAGAAGCACGAGTTGTGGTTCGCTTTGCTGGAACCAGGCCTAACTGTTTGTGGGCCGTTTGATGCGTTTAATGCGCAAGTCGTGTCCCGGTGTGAAGTTCTGCGACACAGGTTGGAGAGCATGTTTGGTGGAGGCTGTTTTGGTGCACCAGGTTGGGTAACCTATGCCTCTGTTGCATTTGCCACGGGGCCCGCGGCACCACAGAAACTAGCCGGTCCTGTCAGAGGTGGTTATGGAGGTGGAGGTGGTGGTGGTGGATACGGCCGAGAGGAAGCTGCCGGTGAGGCTTCATTGAGTGAGAGCGAGCTGTGTCTGTTTCTGGACGGAGATTTGCCTGCACCAGGCTGGGCCGTGCGGTGGTGTGCAGGCGTCGCAGGCCGGCATTCCTTCGACCTTGACGACTGCTCTGTGTTGCAGCTTTCAGGGCTTCGGTGGCTTCATTCCTGGCGACAATGCTCACTCGAAGCACTGAGAGAGCTCACGAACAAGCTGTCACTTCCATGGCACCCGTTCGTCCTCATCATGTTGTAGTGCTTTGAGGGCGGCTCAGCGCGCCCTGAGCAGCCGGATGGAGGCAGAAGAGAAAGTTCTGTGGCTTCACCATCGTGTTCCTACTGGATTCAGGTGCAGGAAAGACAGCAGTACCGGTCCCAAGCCGTTTTGCAGACAGTGGCAGTGGCAGAGCTCGGGAGTCCTTGATGGTGCAAGGCGCAGACTTTGACTCCTGTCACAATTCGCATGCTCCTTGATGCTGCGCGGGTCTCAACTGTTTACTTCGATGAGTTCTTTGGACATGTCGCATTAGTACTTCTGGTACGAGTATCTGGATCAGATATAGGGTGGTTCAGCCAATTTAGCTGGGCGTGAACCACCAGACGTGTCGCGAGGAATTTGCAGCAAAATTGATCCAGCCAGTCCAGGCAGCAGTTTCCACCTCGACTCGTCATGAAAATTACATACCAAGGTTTTCCCGCACGGTCGCAGATGAGTTGCATGAGCAAGCACCAGGAGTTGGGACACCAAATATGCTTTTCCACAGCAGCGACCCGAACGTGCTTACCATGAGTCGGCACAGGCCCGAAACCCGAGCCACAATGCTCGATGCGCCTTCAGTTCAGAAATGGTTTGATTTCTCTGAACCTTGCCTGTGCTGTTGTTAAAACTATTCGGAGTCCCCCTATAGCAGGGGCCCGACTTTGTTTGGAATGTGGAGGTAGAACCTGTATTTACAAATATTCCAGTACTGTAGCCTCGGTTGAAAACATTCTAGCTCAACTACGGTGGCCTGCATGGAAAGGTGAGTTCAAGCGGCCAGCTGGGCCCAGACGGCGCATTCCGTGTGAGCCATAGTTTCAAAGCACAGTAGAAGCGAAGCGCGAAGCGGTGACGGTGATACTTCCTGCATGCAGTCAGTAGCCTTTTCTTCCCCATTATCGAGGAGTAAACGGTGGCAGAGAGCTCCAGATGCTGTCGGTCGTAGCCTGCGTGCTGCTCTCATCTATTGCGCCAGCTACCCGTTGATTCGAGGAACAAATAGCTTGTGTGGAATGCTGCAGGTGGAGAGCATCAAGAACCAGCAGATGAGCATCTGTTTGACTCTCAATGCCAGCTTCTCAGCTTGAAAGGATGCTGATACTTCTGCAATTGGGTTGCTTGCAAGGATGGCACTGGCAGAATTAGCTGCAACATGTATTCCGACAGCGATTCTGCGCCTCAGCTATAAATCCGCGTGACCCGGACTTGGCGCCTTGGAATATCCGACCGAGGCATCATCGGGTCCCGAGTTTCAGGATGGAGACTACATCCGTGGCCTGGTTACAAAAGCGATGCGTCTTTTCCACCAGGCTGCTTGCGCACACTGGCGGTAAGCCTAGGTAGTATTAGGGAGACCCCTTAAAGGGGACCTTTCTGAACCCTACTTTGGCTCTCTTAAAAGGGACCTTATTGAGAGGGTCTATATCCCCAAGGGTCCCCCGAATCCTAACTGCCACGGTAAGGCGTCTTCGGCCATCTCAGACAGTGGGACCAGCAGGACTCGCGCGTTGCAACTGTGCATCAGGATCAGGCTGATTTGAATCTGGAGTCCTTTCATATAGGAGGGTATCACGGCGCACCGCATTGTTAAAGTCGAGTCCGCCAACGAAATAGCCCATCACACCATCGAGGCTCGAGTATTCCGAATCGAAGTATGAACTTGCAAGTAAAAGCTGCAGGTCGCCCATGTTCACTTGAGCGTGGTCGGAAAGTTGGTAAAGTCTGGAGTGGCTCCAGGCCGGTGGCATAGCGAAACGTTTGCTCTCAGATCGTGATCGGACTCGGCCGTGAGGACAGGCCAACCGCAGCTCGCCTATGCCCTCGATGCCAGCATCAATGCAGCCGCCGATGAATGCGCAACAGGTCGGTGGTGCACAGCGACTTTGCGCTGGGACAAAGTACAACTTAGATTGGGCTAGCCGGCCAAGAGAGTCTGAATGCAAGTGAGAAAGCCCCGGGGCATAGCAATGCATAGAGAGGGAGAGAGAGAGAGAGAGAGAGAGTCTTTTTACCGACGCCCCCACAAGGCCCTTAAACAGGGGCGCGCCATCCGGCGCGGGGAGCCTTACCTGCTCCCTGAACCCCGGAGAAGAAGAAGAAGAGAGAGAGAGCGAGCCCAGGCGCGGGCTAAGGGGTAACTCCCCTTGGCTCTGACCCCTAGCAAAGCAAAGCAAAGAGAGAGAGACACTTGGGAACATTGGGGCTCTGCAACAGTGGTTGTGGTTTCAAGCCCCTGATGAGAGTTACAGGGGCGCGGGGATGAGGCCCGCATAGGGGTCGTAGTGTACAGGGATTGGGGGCTTGTCGTACAACCACATGGGGCAGCTTTTGTCTTCTCCTGCCGCGGTCAGTGAAACCCCAATGCCGGCCACTTAATAAACAAAAGAGTGGTCGGGCGGGCCAAAGGCCTGACACTGAGGGTCTCCCCGCGGGACCCCTACGCCCGGCAGAAAGAAAGAAAAGACACTTGCTCCCCTGCATCATAGCCCTGGCGAAAGAAAGAAAGAGAGAGACACCAGGGTGCCTTCGCGCGCAGGGAAGGCTTGCCGGCCCTGGGCTGTGTGGAAGAAGAGAGACACACCTAATTATCGGTTTTTATGGCCCCTATATCTTGCAACCAGTGCTTACAGCCCGAGGTCTTTTACGTTGGTTGTTTTTTCACGTCCTGCCACAAAGCCTCCACACAGGGGTGAGCCAATCGGCTCGGGGGACCTTGACAGTCCCCAATGCCCCGCAGTGAAGTGAAGTTGAAGTGAAGTGAGACGCAGCGATGTGGGGCAGAGTTCAGAAAGGGGCAGACCACCTAAGTTTGCTGAGTTAAGGTCTTCTACCCTTTCGAAGTCTAGGGGCAGATCGAGGCCTGTCTTGCCAAAAATTCACGGCGAACCGGGACTACCTGACAGCTGGTGTGTGATACCTTAAGGTTTGTGTTCCTTGTAGTTAGAAGGACTCGAAGGCCACAGCCTTCTGTGACACTAGCACTTGTTCCTTTCAAGACGCTCCACATGCTTGGGACCAGGGGCGAAGCCTCTAGTTAAAATGGATTTGGCGGACGGCTTCAATGCGTTTGCGAAATTTGCGAGTTAGGCGCCCACTTTGGAAGACCCGCCCAAGTCAATAAGCTTGGGAGGCGCGTTTTTGCTGGACTCCCTTGTTTTGCCGTAGCCTCCCAGCCGTGGGGGCAGAGACGGACGGTCGGATCAGTGTGGAAGCAGATTGGGGGTAGTAGATTGGGTTTGGGCGTGTGACCGAGACCAGTGTACGAGCGCGCACAGGGAGATTCTAGTCACAATCAAGGGGCGCGTCCACGCACCTCCACCGGATTCTCTCACCGAGCAAGGGCTTCAGTGCGCGTACTGTTTTTGTTGGCGCCCTGCTTTTGTGCCTGTGCAGAAGAAGAGAGGGGGTATATTTCTCCCGTCAGCGTGAAGCCGATAATTGCAAGAGGGTTCCAAAACGGGGGAACAACTGCATACACTTGAGGGCTTTAGCCGGTTACCGTTGTGGCCCGCCTTGGTGCGGGCTTGAAGCGTGGGGAGTCTGACGAGAGAGAGAGAGAGAGATGCAGGGGGATTTCCCCCTGCATCATAACCCCGGCGAAAGAAAGAGCTAGCAGACCACAGCCCTTCACCATAGCCCAGGCGACAGAACGACCCTGGCTCTTCTGCTTCCCACTCCAAATCGGGGACCCCGCTTGATACAACCATGGCCGAGTCGTGCCGCTACAACGACGGCCGAGTCACACTCCTCAGAGCTCGGCAGCGCTTGACAAGCCGTTCATGTCTGGGCCGAGCGGCTGCGATGAAGACAGGTCAGATCGTGAGTGACAACCACCCGAGATGGGTCTCGAAACAGGAACGTTTGGCTTCGCGCCGTGGGCAATCCACCACCAGAACTCCGGACGAGTCACAGACCGTAGGCCCGTTGATCGCCCTCGCCCTTCTGGGTCGGGGCGAGAGCGTGCCTTGTGTCTTGGCTGGAGATGGCTAGAGTAGCAGGTCCAGCGGAAGTTGCGACCTACTGGCAGCAGGTGGTAGTCGTTCCAAAAGCAACTTTCGCATCTCCAAGCTCTCCCTTGGAAGCGTGGCAGTGTAAAGGCGAGCACATGACATGTCCTGAATGCACATGGCAGGTCGGTGGAGCTGCAAACAGGCGCATCTTGTACAGTTTTAATCGACCCTGTCGTTTTCTCGTCATCAAATCTTAAACCTTTGAAGCCAGGTATGCGCAGGGCCAGAAGCTCAGCATACCTGTGCGTGCAAAAGACTGATTACTCTGATGCAATCTTGATCCAGGTGCTGGCACCGGCACACAGCAATTCCCTTCAGCACAGACGCCACGGTTCGCAGGAATGCAGCAGGCGAACACGCCGACTTTTCAGCAACCTGTTGCCGGATCAGCAGCTCCAATGGGCTCTTTCCCTCCAAGGACGACCCAGCCGGCACAGATGATGTCTGGCCAGCCAGGATATCAGCAACCGCAGCTGAATGCGAAGCCTCTCCACCAACAGCAACCAATGCAGATGCAGACACCCCAGCCACAGATGCACATGGGTTATGGAGGTGTGCAAGGCGGCACTCGCACGTCATGCAAGCTGCTCTTGCCGACTCCGATTAGCATAGAAAGAGAAGCCAGGAAAGTTCTCGCATCCAGTGTGCCTGTGATCGTTTCTGCTCACGTCTGGCTGCACAACTGGTGTGGAGATCATGGGAGTCCTGCTTCAGCTTAAGCTTCGGCTGCAAGCCGTATTTCAGGCAAGATATGACAAGTTAAACAAACCCGAATTATGCTTTCGCGTGTGTTGTAGACGGGACTCTAGACCTAGCAGTCATGCACATGCTAGCACAGAGTCACAAAACCATTCATTTTATAACAGCATCTCCATCACCAGCGACGGCATGGGTAGGTAATTACTATGCATTGAATCATCGCTGGCCGTGACTTGAAGTACCATCGTGGATTTGTAGCAGCGTTTTGACTGGTCGATGTGCTCATAGCTGCGCCAATTCAAGGAAACGAAACCGCCAGCCCACAAGGCTGATCGCGCTCTTCCTTCAAAGTGAATACTCGCACCGCAAACCGTGGTAGCAAAAGTGTTGAGCGACGAATGCTTGAGCAGCGTTGTGGTTGATCATCTTCAGTATATAACTTGAAGAGATGCTGCAACCGCAGCACCTCCCATAAGCCGTTATTCAACCAGGACACCAATGAAGGAACAAGCGGCTGAGACACACACACACACACACACGCACACAACACATTTGCAGTATAAGTACATCGGCACCGAGCCTGGTCTTTCGATTCAACCGGCAAGCCGAGGTATGTGTAGTGGACCACGGCGAATGAAACGCGCAGGGGTGGGATGCGCGCCGCGCATCCACGACAGAATCCGAGAACCGAGAATGTTCGAGAAGAATTCGGGCCACAGTCCCGGGCTAGTTTCTGCAACCGATCAGGGGTTTCAGAGTTTTCGAGGTTCCATAGCAGGATTGCGAAGATCTCGTTTCGGGTTTCTGTTGCACCTTATAGGCCCTATTAGCCTGTACCCACCCCATTGTGGCTGAGTCTTGGCTGGACGGATTGAAGGCATGTCGCCTCCGCACCCTTTCGCTATCTTTGGCTAAATCTCCCCAGCCATGGTGGGTGTGCACATGCTATTGCTTCCGTGTTGTGAAGCTGAAAGTACGGTGTTCTACATTGTTCTACTTGCATCCCGAGCTTCCGCCAGGTGGATCAGCTGCACAAGCCAGAACATCTCCTTTCCAAGGCGATGTTTACGTCTTCTCCGGAGCTTTTTGAGATTCGTTATGATTAGTTCGTTGGAGGTGGACCAGGTGGACAGTATCAGCCTTCCGGAAACATGCCACCGCCGGGAGGAGCACAAGGCAGACTCTAGACTGCACGCGGACAGCAGTTCAGTTCCTTCTGACCACTGTGCCGACTATGCCTGAATTGCACCGTAGTTTTGGCATTCATTTATTTGTGGAATCTTGCAAGGCATTCCGAGCCTCCAAACATGTGCACCAAGGCCTGTATGGTGGAGCGGGTGGTAATAGCCTCTACGGTACGGCAGCCGGTCCTGGTGGATTCCGCTGAGAGTGAGCACAAGTAAGAATTCACTTTCTTACAGCTGCCAAACTTGCTGCACCTCCTGCACAGTTCATAGTTGTCGGGTGAGGGCAGGTGCACAGAGATTCAAAGTCGAGCGTGTTGGATGCAAAATCCAACGCTTGCAGGATGGTCTGTGACATGCGCGTAGCGGGGATGCGTCGGTCATGGTTGGGGCGATGACTCGGCAGAGTTGCGCAGACGATTGCGTGCTGTGCAAAGATCGCAATGAAGTTGTGCAGAGTGCGTCTGGGCAATGCTCTGCATTCTGCCAATCCGTCTTCAAGCTTCGCAGGACTGATGTTGCCAAAGATAGCAGCTGCCATCCGCAAGGTCGCCGTCCTTGTCGCTCTTCCGCCAGTATGCAGGATTCCTGCCACACTTGCTGCAGGTGGGCCTACTGATACCGAGGCAGGCTTGCAAATGCTGGTCCAGCCTGCCGGTAACCGTGCTGGCATGAGGATCTAGAGAGGCAGCTTCGTCGTGCTGAGCGAGCAGCAGGCAGCACTGCCTCGAATTGTCTTTCGAGGATCGGAAATCCTGTGACAACGGTTCCAGAGTCTCTGCTTTCAGGCCTGACCGGCTCTGCGGAACAGCAGTGGAGGGAGGTCGTCAAACTTGGCCAATCGGGTGTGCCGCGCCGGTAAAGCATTTTCTGTGTATGAAGGTCTTGGTGAACGCTCGGGCCACCCTTCGGCGAAAGCCTGATGATGCAGATGCCTTGGTCACTTCTTAATCTTCTTAATGCCCGTGTATGCAAGCATGCATCTACTGGTAGCAGTGTAATCGGTTAAACTAGGCGACGCCAGGGTCATCGCTAACCTTTCGCAAGGCAATTGCTTTGCGGTGCGCAGCAAGGGCTCTCTTGCGCAGAGCCCAGCTCGAGCTTCATGTTGGCCTTGTCAGTTTCCGTCTTCTGCCGAGGTCGATAGACGGCGATGCCGCAGAAATCCGAGAGTGCTGCCAGCGGAGTAGCAAGATGGGATCTATGAGTGCGCCGTCACCTGCAGCACGGCCAGGTATGCACGCCAGGCCGCTGAATATGGTGACGAGGCAGGCCTTCATGGCCATGTCCCAAAAACGTCCGCAACCATCCGTGCCCCGTGAGCGCCAGGCTTCAGGATTTACTCTTGGCTACGAGCTACACGCGTACTTGGGCAAGCTGGCGGAGGCTTTGCAGTTTCGAAGTCTCAGACAAGACATCAGCGAGTGTGTCACCGAGCTCTGCTGCAGGCGGAGCGGTCCTTTTCCCTGGCTGAAAAGCATTACTCTGCAGCTCTGGCCTCCAAGGAGAGAGTGCGAAAGGGTGCACATTGGGTTACTTGCGAGCCTTTGCGAGCAAATTCTTTCTTTTCGTTTTTTCAAAGAGGCCGGTGACGAGGCAGCCATGCTGGGTCTGGCCCGTGTGGGGAAAGACGGCAAGGCACAGGCAAGAGCTCTTCGTTCCAAGGGATCCAAGGGCTCTGGGGCTGGGCCTGGGGCGCGGTCGTCTGTTGCGATGTGGCTGCGGAGGCGCGGCGACTGTACGAAGAGGCAGAGGGGGATATATGCGCATTCATGCGCATGGCACGGTTCCGGAAGACTCTTGAGGTTGTGTCGCGGCATCCGGACAGTGCCGAAGGGCACAGGCGCCTGGCTGAACTTCACCTTGAGGCTCGGATCTCACCTCCGCCAGTGGCTCGTGATCTCTTTCTTGCCTATGGCATGAGGCCGATGAGGCTCTTGAAGCCTATCGGCTGGCTGCACAGGCTTGGCTCGTGTGACTCCTCCGCCGCCGCGGTTTCGTAGGAATGAGCCCAGGCAGCCAAGCTCGCACCGAGGGATGTTTCAGCTCATTTGTGCCTGGGGTACGCAAGCCTGAAGCTGGGAAGGCAGGAAGATCGCCTTTGCTCGATTGTGCAATTTAGACTACTGAGCCTGGCAAGGGCAGATGAGGCAGCTCGCTCTTTCGAGCAGGAGCAGCTTTCTTGTCTCTCGACTTCGGGCCTGGGTCAACTTGCTAAGTGCAGGCAGCTGTGCTGCAGCCAAATGCACTCGACATCCCAGCCATGGTAGCTCTGGTCACCTGGCAGAGAAGCGGTTGTCTGCAAACCGCTGCCGGCACTGCTCAATCACCGACAGGCATCCCTCTACCGAAAAGCCGGTCGAGATGAGGCTGCTTCTCGCTTCGTGTTGCCGGGGCAGCCATTCCAACGTGCTCCGAGGAGGCAATTACTTACTACAAGCGGGTGCTCGATATGCGGCCTGGTGATTACGAGTGCACTTTGAGCCGCTTTTCTGCAGTAGCGCTGTTACGATCGTCACTGAGGGGGGCTGGGAGGCACAGAAGACAAGGGCGAGACAATGCGTAAGAATCGTCAGCTTCCGCGTTGTTTGCATTGCCAGCCGCAAGTGCCAGCTGCATCTATACAGTTGTCAATCGTCTGGAGAGCGGGCTCCAGATCTCAGCTAGCCCACAGTTTTGCAATGTGAGTGCCACCTTCCGCCCCCCTCCCCCATCCCCCCCTCCCCCACCCCCCCTCCCTCCACCCTTCCCCCACACGTTGCTGATGCGGCTCTGGCTGCATGTGAGAATGCCTGGAGCCCGCCTCGCCAGCTTTGTTTCCCTCCCTTGCTGATTGCCCGCCTCGTCAGCTCTGTTTGCCTTCCGTTGCTGATGTGGTTGGATGTGATGATGCTTGGAGCCCGCCTAGCCAGCACTGTATCGCTTGCCGTCCCTCCAGCTTAGGCTAGCTTCCGTGCCCCTGGTCCCGCCCTTCAAGTTGAGCATCCCGAGTTAGATTAAAACGATAAGCACATTCAGAGCAGCAACTTTAGGTTGACAGAGATGCAGTTTGAAAGACATCTGATACGTGTGGCAGGCACATCTTGGCAACACTGCTCTCAAAACCCGTACACATGTTTGGATATGCTATGTAGCTTTGGACGGACTGCACGCTTCTGCAACCCACCAACAGTCAAGCCTGTCGCCGTACGATTGAGTGTTATCGTCAAGAAAAATCTCTGAGCCAATCCTTGCCGCCCACGCAAAAGACGAGAACTAATTATGAACAACACTATGACAAGTATATTTAAAAAACATCATGAAATTCACAGAATTTCACCTGAAGCTAAATTTCCGGACCCCAGCCAGAAGTTACCATATTGCATTAACGTTTTCTACACTTTTCTATCTGGAGAGGGGTGGCCTGGCGGCAGGGCGCGGAGGAATCCGTAAGTCCTTAGAAAACTGTGAACAGCTATGAGACAATCAGGACATTCGAGAGAAAACGAAGACTTCACACCATGCACCATATCTAAAACACGACCGTCCACCGTGTCGTGCGCCCAGTGGAGCCATGCAGCAGAGTGTAGAAGAGGTTTGGCGAACATCCACGCCGACAGAGGGGTCAACGGGGCAAGCCAGGCCTGAGGATCTTTGCATTCAACGTATGTCAACCTGTCATGGGCATGTCGCCTTGGAGGCGTTGCACTACTTTCGCGCAGCCTTGCAGCTTGATCCTTACGGCCTTTCAGCATCGCGGACAAGCGAACATTTTCGCTGAGTCCAACACGTTCGTACTTGTGCGCACGTTGCCATTGCATGCTGAGGTGTAGGCCGACCACAGTTGACTGTCGAAGCATCTATCTGCAGGCAAGAAGATATCGAGACGATAGCTGAATGGATGTTCGCAGCCGCATGTTGGCCAGATGGCGGCGGTGCAGATCGCAATCAACTCTTGGAAGGCCGTAGAGTCGTACTCGTACTGCAAGCTAGCCAGGGCTGCAGTGGTCTTTGTTAGCTTCCAAATTCTGAAGGATGCACAGCAAACCCTGGAAAGCGCTGTCCGTGAACACCCGGATGATGCAGAGGCAATGCACGCAAACCGCCAGCTCCCAATTCTTTGCCCACCATGTTGCAGATTTTTCGACAACTTCTCTCAATCTATGAGCAGCTCAAAGACTCGAAGGGGCAGTACTACTGTCACCGCCGGCTTGCAATACACCAAGTTGTCGGATACTACACATTGGACGGTGCTGAACCAGTACAGACTTGTTCAAGGTGCAGCTTGGTGCTGCAACATCGACCACGCAGACTTCGTGCCCCAGTGCGAGTCGCGCGAGTCGAGACATGTCGAACCGGCAGACATGCTTCAAATTCCTTCGGCTTCATCGCGAGGTATGCGGCTTTGCTGCTGTCGGAAGATCGGGTGCGTGAAGCCCGGGAGCAGCTCAGTCAGGCCGGGATGGAAGTCCGTCCGCCTCTGAGACTCGGCCCGACGGGGCGGCAGGTCATCAAGCTTGAGCCAACAAACCTCATGGCGCTGCTCAAGCTGGCGCATTGCCATCGACAGGTGCCGGGAAGCCCTTCCTGACTGTTGTCAGAGTGGACACGCCAGGAATCTCGAGAAAGCAACTTGGAAGAAGCGCGAAAGCTCTATGAGCAGGTTGGTCCCAGCGTTGCCGAGCCCTTTGGAGGAGATCAGAGCCTGCCTCCTGGAAGGTGCTACACATCAGCCCGTCCAACTCGGAGGCATCCTGTGGTCAGTGTGTGGCAGCCTGCAGGTTCACCTGCTCAGGCGCTGGAGGGTGCCGCGTTTTGTGCTCGGAAAGGAAATCAACTCGATCAGGCACATCGCAAGTCCGAGCACACAGGGCTAGAGCTTCCAGTGGATGTGCCTGCAGGCTGTTCAATTTTACCAGCAGTGTCTGAAGGTCGCGGGAGCATTGTAGCGCGGCCTCAAACATCAAGCTACATGAATGAGTGCATGCATCAAGGTGAACGCGACTGCCGAAGGCCCACTCTACTACCTCGGTGGGGCTCTCGTTGCACTGTGTGTGTTTCGGCTTTTAAGTGTCACTGTCATCCTCTTCTGTCGAGGTGACATCCTTTACCGACAGCACCGTCATGCAGAGTGTCAGTTCTATTTGTCCAGGCCACTGGAATGGTGCATCTTCAATAAGAGGGCTTTAACGGCCTGCGCAGCCCACTGATACTTTTAGTCGCGAGGCTGGTGGAGACAAATTGTGCAACAGACTACAAGACTGGAGCTTTGTGCCCACCGCACGACTGCAAGCCACGACCTCCCGTGTGGTCGCCAGCGGAGCGGGAGGTACCTGTTGGCAAAGTCATACGTGTCACTGGACGAATATGAGGAGGCAGGATCCTCTTTGAACTGTACAGTTTGTGCACAGCCTGATCTCTAGGCAGAGAAGCAAGCTCGGCTTGGTCTCGCACTGAAACCGTCGCTGCCCAAGCCGAATGCGGACGCAGATTTGACGTGCACTGTGCATACGAGACGGGGATGCGAGACCAGGGCCCAGCCCGAAACGTCTTGACATCCTTGGTGCGATGCCAGCACACATCGTATCCAATCCGCTCATGTCATGTCAACGCCTAGCCACACCAGAAAAGGCACCGCAAGCCCTGCAAGCAGCGCATTCGCATGCCGCGGCACGCGGTCGCCCGCACGGACGATCACGCACAGATGCTCCATTCAAACCTACAAAAGGAGTGTGACAGCAAGAGACTTGCAACCGCTGTTCTTCTTGATTGCACTACCCAGGAATCACCCGCATTTTCTGTTCATCCTGGCGTTGGTCAAGAATCGAATGGCCGATTTCGACTCTTCGGTTGCCACATTGAAGAAAGCCATGGCCTTGGCCTTCTAGCTTTGCCCGAATTAACTCTGGTGCTGGATATTGGCAGGCCTTCCTCCACTTGAGCTCCGCGGATAGCGACAACCTGAAGATTGAGATCCACGACTGGCTGGCCCAGGCTAGGCATGCTGCGAAATGGTGGGCACACACTGCTTTCCTTGCAGCAATCATCCGTTTGAGCCTTACCAGCTTACGCATACGCACACGAGCAAACCCAGACAGAACTAACAATAAGACAGACAGGCAGACACACAGGCAGGCAGACAGGAGAGACGGACAAGCAAGGAGGCAGGCAGACAGACAGTCAGATAGACAGACAGCTAGGCGGCCAGGCGGGCAGGCGGGCAGACAGGCAGACAGGCAGGCAGACAAGCAGGCAGAGGGGCAGACAGGCTGACAGGCAAGCAGCCAACCAGCCAGACAGCCAGACAGACGGACAGCCGGAGAGCCGGACAGCCGGACAGAGGGACAGACGCACAGCCGGACACACGGACATACAGCGCTGGCCAGCCAGGCAGACAGACCAACAGACACGTAGAAGCAGAAGACACACATCATGGGTTTGGCATGGTTTGGCAAGCTGGTTACATCGCCTCGAATTTGTTCAATATCTTCACTTGCTCTGCAATCTGACTTCGTTCAAATCTTAGTGACTTAGTGCAGGTGCCGGGTCCGTTTTCAGCTTGTCATCGGCCTCTTCGTTGGTCATCCCCCAACGACAAGCGGGATGGCCCCCTGCAGTCTTTAATTCTGCGACCCCCGGTCACAGGGCTTCACCCGCACACACAAGCGTCCCTATGGAGGGGCAGCAATCGGTTGTGGTTGATCACAGTCACTTGCAATCACATCAACTAGGGAGCAGCACTGGCAAACCCACATATCAAATCATCATGTCTTCGCCGCTTCTAGTGGAATTCTTCTCGGCATCGTTGGGGTCCGTCACACCCGGCTTCCTTGGGAGGCGTACGAGCGAAAGGGTGAGTACACGAACGCTTTGGCCGAGTGCGAGAGCACAGCTTTGCCAAGCAGCGTTCGTGGAATCTTTGCCCCGCTGTGGTTTCTTAGGCTTTCACTGGCCTTGAAGCAGGAGCCATCGCATGTGGGACCCTTGGAATGGAGTTACATTTGCTGTTGAGTCGTGTTCTGTTCGTGTTGCAGAACGGTGTAGCGTTGCCTGGCCTGTGGAGGTTTCTTCTCTCATCACGCAGGGTCTCATCCACATGCAGATGAAAGAACTGGAGCAGGTGCTACGAGCTCCAAATGCAGCTGCCGCAAAATGCAAAATGCGCCTCGGTGTGCAGGCTGAGACCTCTTATCGGAAAGCCCTGGCCGTTGAAAAGAATCACGCCGCGCACCCCGAAAATAAGCATGAACAATGCAGCCAGATTCCGGGCAAGACTTGAAACAGGCGCTTGCTTTGGTTCGCCTCGGCTACTGCAAACTCTTGGCAGCGGACCTGCAGGAGGTGCGCCAGCGAGGGCTTTGATCATTGGGCCGTTTGAAGCTTTTTGCCGGCTGCAGGCGATTCTGCTATTCCAGCGGGCTTTGCAGCAACGATGTGGCACTGTTGCTCTGCCTCGCCAGATGCCTGAGATGCTTTTCGTGGTTCACTCTCACATTGGCCGGGTCTCCTCGTCAGGTTCTGTCAAAGGGTCAGCCCGGATCTACATGGCATTGGCCATGATGGGACAACAGGTCAGGAGCACGGCTGTCGATATGCTTTGTTCGACGAAGTGTGCAGGACATGGACGGCGCTCTTTACCAGCTTGCAGAAGCTCGCAAAAGCCACAGGCCCTATTCCATGGCTGTCAGATGAGAGCCAGTGGAACGGCATTGTACCAGGAACTTCGAAAATCTGTGCAGCTCTGGGAAAGACAGCATAGTCAAAGGCAAGCCTCACATGCACGTGCCCGTTCCGTGCGCACATGTTTCTTGCTCCTCGGCAGGTGAGTGCGAAGGTCTCGTTGGCAAGCTTCGTTCCATGTCGGACCTGGATGTCACACTTGCACAGGCGTGAGTTGACTGTCGATGACTGTCGCTCCGTCTTCGCATATCAGCTCGGCTGCTCAAGGCATGGCAGTTGGTTGAGCTGATGGCGAAGGACTCTTAACACGTCGGAGCAGAAAGGCAAGAGACAGTGAGAGCGGAGAAAGAACATGCATAACTTGCTGCCAAAATGAATCCCATCATGAGACAGGCCCACCTGCAAGGGAATTACGTTGCATCAAAAATGTCTGGAGACGTCGTCATTTGTAGTTCTTAGTGCTGGACCTGCTTAAGCCATCAAGGCTTGCTTTGGATCAGCACAGTGGGAAGATGCATGAAGTCCGGTGTTGCGGAAACAAGCAATTCCTCCGGCAACACGTTTTTCATTGGCAGGAGTTAGAAATGGGCCTTCGGGATCCGTCAGCAGGACTTGACACCGCAAAGTGCTGCTCCGGATTCTGGGGTTCAGCACCTGCGCCCGGCGAGGAAAGGGCAGTTCTCTGGAGTCGGGGCAGAGCCCTGCCAGAGAGCAGCTCCCTGATTCGATACAGAGGTCAAAGAGTCAGAGTGCTTTTCCCTGCCTCAATTTACTGCCTTCATTGCTTCCCGAGGTTCACTGCTTCTTCACCAGAGAGCCAGGTGCCACGATGCAGCGCGTGAATGCACGTGAGCATTTGCTCCAAGCAACAACCCGTGCACAGGCAAAGAAAGTAAAGGGTGAAGCCGTGTCTTCTCCGGTCTGCAGCCAAGACACATCGAACAAGGTCACAAGGTTGCACAGTTTGAAGATGCGAGGTAAGCAACTTGTCACTATCAGGTCACAGATCGTCGTGCTTGGGAGCCTTGCCTAGATGCACCTCAGAGCCCGTGTTCTTGTCGATCAATGATCTTTCCTCTGGGTATCCAGGCTACCAGCCCAGAGGCAGCCGGACCCGGACCAGAGAGACGCGCATGGACCGCTGGGAGGGATGGCGGGCAAAGGGCGCAGGGCTGGGCTCAGGCCCTCATGCTGCCACACTGCCTTTCCATGGGAGGACTTCTACGACCGAAGCAAAGGATGCTCGAAGTACCGGCCAGTTAGATCAAGGACGGACCTTTTGCTGCGTCGCAGCTGCGGTTAACGTGCAAGTTGCCCTACTCTTTAGGAGGCAAGATCCTTCTAGCGAAGCACGAGATGATTGATTTTGCGAAGCTTGCAGCCAAGTTCCTTTAGCATTTTGCGGGCATAGCAGCTTTGCTTTCCAAGGCTGACGCAGAAGGATTGCCTGGGATCCGGCGGTTTCGGAGCTGTTTACCGAGGGTATTTTGGAACTCGCGAGGCCGGAAGTCGCGAAGAGATGAATCGGTGTGATGCTGGAGACAGATCTGACAGTCACGGTTGTGTTCGAACTTTGCATGCATTTGTTTCCGGGGTGTCATTCAGGTCGAGTGTGTGTTATGTTCCGAGTCTTGGGGTGAAAGGTCTGGAAAATGCCTGCCAGGCTGGGACAAGAAAAACCATCATGATGCCCCCAGCCCCAAAGAGACATCGGCTTGCTGCTCCGCTTGGAGACGATGATTTTGCGACCGCTAGACACTGCTGCGCAAGAAGAATCAAGAAGATAGTAAGCCTCAGTAAGCGGCTGAAGCTGCTGGTGACGTTGCACACTGAGTAGCTCGTTTGGGGAGGTGCGCAGCCACTCTGCTCGACCTGCGTAGCACTTTTGCAAGCTTCACGTTGGCCCAGCGGTCTGGGCGACTGCCTTGGCAAACGGACATAGGAGAATGACATCTTCGTGAACCGATTTCCCTCGGTAATTTGTCTCGCTCACATCTTCACAAATGGACGGATGTCCAGGAGTCATGCATGAGGCAGCAGCACTCGAGCAATCCCGAGCATGTGCAGGTGGCAATCAAGAAGCTTTTCTGTGAGGATGGAGGCCCAATTAGTTGCTTCTCCGCAGTTTGCGCAGGCCCATTTCGATGTTTTCCCAGGCAACATTTCGCCGCTGCAGCTGGAGGAACTAGAAAAGGAGGCCTGGGCGTGCAAGATGGACAACATTGAGCAGCACAGCTTCGCCCCTGCTCGAGGTAGTTGCGCTTCGAAGCCGGCAACCTAACCTTGAACTTAAAGGGCCTTGAAGTTCAGGCAACGGTTTTCCTTGACCCAAAGTATGCACTTGAAGGTCTTAGCCATCCGCGGCTGGTGGGTTTCATTGGAGCGTGCATGTCCCGGAGTCCACGGCTTCCGCACAGCCCACTGCATGATGATCGCTGTTGACAGAACCTCGCTTTTGAGCTGAAGCCCTTATAGCCGCAGGTGTTTGCAGCCGCCGAACTTGTGCATCGTCACAGAGTCGGGAGCTTGGGTCGGCTCTGTAGTTGTTGCTCGCTGCTTACTGGTCGTGCTGTGCCTCGCTTCGCGACGCATGTGTGCTTGTCAGTGTAGGTCCAAAGCCGCTGAATCTGGTGCTGCTTTCTGTGGTATTGGTTTGCTGCCTGATTCGCTTCCTTCCTTCAGCTGCATGTGCCGCCGTCATCGGGCAGAAATGGAATAGTTTAATGCCGCCAGACATGCATCAGGAATCAGGAACAGCAGGCCTTCCACGGATATTCCAAGCTATTTAACGCGAGACCTTTGCAACGGGTTTCATTTGACCTATGGATCGCTTCACTGAGCCATGGATGCATCTCTGGTAAGCTTGGTTGGAGATGGAGATCTTGATGCAGTCAAACGTCATCTGGACAGTGTTCGCAGGATGCATGGCCAGGCAATTCAACCAAATCTTGTGTCTTCCACCGCACTTCCCACACGAGCTCATGCCTTCTTCAGGCTGCTGTCGTGAGTGAGATCACAACGTGCGAGCATGAGGCCCGCATGATATGTCGGAGAGATTCATGGAACAGCAACCCAAAGAGCACAATACATGTCCAGCTCGACGGCATTTCTTTTTCCATAGTTGTCGTGCCGAGTGGGTCCAGACATGTCTACATTCATCACAGTTTACGACCTATCGCGCGTGCTCTCTGTTGAAACGGCGAGTTTGGCTTCGCCGTAGTCTGCTCGTTAGTGCAATGTAGCAAGCCCTTGTGCTCCCTCGAGGGCCGAAATGCCAAGTCTGCACTGCATCGCGCAGCGCTGCGTGGCCGGGCGGAGATGGTCTCATTGTTCTTGCGCGAGGAGGCCAACACACAAACTGCTGGTTTCAAAGCCCCAGTAACCCAACGAACCTAACCTGTGTTGCGCTTCCGTGCTGGCAAGGCTCCTGTAGACGTCTTGGATGAGCAGGGCAACACTCCACTGTCTGGGCCATCAGGCAGGAGCCTTGATAGAGATCGACGCTGCTGAGTCTAAGGCACTTGGCCACAGATCTGGGCCGTGCACGAGCCGTACACTGCTTGCTCCAGGTGGCTGCCAAAGCCGAGCTCAGGCAGTTCGCTGTTTCCATCTCGTGGGCAGGCACGTGCCTGCGTCCAGACAAGAAACTGCTTCGGGCGGTCGGCGAAGGAGTTACCTTTGCTCAAGAGCGGCGGAGTTTCTTCATCAGCTAATGAAACCTGCTCATGCAGGAGATGGCCGTAACCAATTCGTGGGATGAGCAGAGCATCGCGGACGGTAAAGCTTTGATAAGAAGGCCCACAGAGATAAGGCCAAGGCTGTTTGCTCACAGTCTCCCTGCGACTCGTTTCTCGCAGGATGCTCGAGGCAGAGCAAGTTCCTCTGGACAACTTACCAGCCGAGCCGCCAGCAGCTTCGCACCCTTTGCCTGAGAAGGCGCTGCTGACAGCACCTCTTATTCGAACGTGATGATATTTGTCAAAATGCATCCAAGCAAGCATTGCAATCACAAGCCTTGCATGACTGTCTTCAGTGCTGTTGGAGACTGACAGGTTCGCAGCTTTGGGCATGTCGATCCCGAAGTCAACTTGCACGTGGACAAACCTGCATCGTTCAGGGAGGAACCAGAAGTCCCTTGCTGGCACACATGCCCATCATGATAGTACCATTTGTGAAGGATTGCAGTGGCTACTGTAAGCCATCTATAGTCTGATCCTTTCGTGGCTGTTGGGCTCGGATGCTCTTAAGGGTCCTCGAGCTTCTGCTTGCTGCCAAGTTCAAACAGAAATTCCATACCGATTGCTATTGACGTCTTTGTCCGTCATCACAGCACGTAAGCAGCTTGCAGCTTGCTGCAATCATATGTTGCTGCTAGATTTGGCACTTGGGCATTGTTTCGGAAGGCCTCAAGAGTAGAAATTGCTAAGTGTAGTAAAGGTTCATCCAAGGCTGCATCATCCTGGACGCGGATATTTGCCGGGACCCTACTGATGTTCTTTTGAGAACTGTGCCATTTAACTGTGATGATTGCTGTACACTCTTCCACGCCGCGAAGCTCGCATAAGGTCGGCGAGTCGAAGTCGGAAAGCAAGCATCCGCCATCAGCCAGCATGTCGTCGCGAACATCGTATAGCCAGATGTCTGATGATGCCTTTCTGAGAGAGGCTCAGACTGGTACAGCCACAATGCATGGGAGCTCAAACAAAGATATTCCAAGTCGCTCCTGCAGGCGTGCCTCCAGGCACTGGTGAAGCAGGCGGATCTGGGAAGCGTCAAGCGCTGGCTGCGATGCAAGTCCCAGCAGCTGCCCCTCCCGGGCGAGTGCGACACCAAGCATCGCGAAGCTAGGGGAAGCAAGGCGAGCAAGAGTCCAGTTGTTGCCCATACAATTTGCACGTTGCGATTTGCCAAGAACGGCTGAGAGCGCTCTCTTCGCAGCTGTGGGCAGCTGCGAATTCAGTGAGACCGGCGAGGACATCCGCGTTGCACAGCACCATGCTGAGAAACCTCACTCTTTAGGCGGACCTGTGCATGATTTTCCATCGACGCGTCCTGCTTTTGTCTTGCTCGTAGCTTCCCGGGGACAGTCGCAAGGTCGGCTTTGCACCTGGCTGCGTTGCATGGCCACACGGACATCTTGATGCTGCTGCTAGAAACTAGAGCCCTGATGCAGACTGGCTTCCACTGCCTTGAAATGCAAACCACACCTGTGTTGACACTGAGGAATCAATCCCAACGTGACGAATGATCAAGGCCCTCTGTGACATAACCCGCCCTCGCATTTGCGGTTTTTTCTCGGGCTCCGGACCCGTTCGCATCTGGGGTCCCTGCAGGCAGGCCGGTGCCCCTTTCAGGATGAAGTGCTAGCTGCCAGCACAACCACCGATCTTAGGCAGCTCTTTCTCATCTAGAATCTACTGCGTTTGCTCTGAATTCGGTCGAGTCTGCAAGAATCTGCCGGCTCTTGGCGCCGCCAACCCAAAATCATTGTCCTCGGTCTGTCTGCTTACCAGACCTTGTGCACCCTTCCACCAATTTCAACTCCTTTGCCATGCGCCACATCCTGTATTCTGAAGCTAATGTGAGCTGTGGCTGTGAGAGAGTCCGTGAGAATCATTGGTTGCCGTGTTGTTTGCGCATTCCTGCATCGGGCAAATCTGAGAGCTTAATGAAGCCAGAGAAGAGACGATCGTTCTGGTACTCTGCTGATGAAACTCCCGATCCCAGTGCCACCTGCAGCAGCAGCTGCACAAGGCAGCACGCCATTGCATCTCGCCGTGGACTTGGATCGTGCAGAATCGGCACAACTGTTGCTGAGTCTGGGCCGCAATTTGCAGCGCACTCCAAGAATCCTGTGGTGTCCCGACATGCAGAGGAGCAAGAATGACGTTTGTGTTCTCTGGAAGGAGGGAGGTCGGGCCGAAACACGACCGCTCTAAACACATACTTTCTCGTCCTTGCTCCACCCATCCTGGTAGGCGCTGTTCGAGCCGGGTTTGTCGCTTTCTAAAAATTGACCCGTCGGGTGGAAGAAGAATCAAACAGAGCAGACCCCCACGAAGTCGTCAGAAGCAGGTGTCTGCGTTTCTGTGCTCCAGTCCAGGGCAAAGGTGCAACAGATTTCAACAGGCGAGCTACATGTACGACAACAGGGATTCCAGGATTCCTGTCTGCTCAGGAAATTCCGAGCAAACCCGTGTCTGCGGAACAACTTCGGCCGCACGCCGTATGGTATGCGCGATGGTGGCTGCCTTTGTGCAGACCGGTGACTTGTTCAGTCTCTGCAAAGCGGCTCCGGCAGCAGGTCGAGGCCGCCTTCCTGTGCCACCAAGTGCCGCAGACAGGACTTGCCGCCAAGATGTAGCACTGTGAAAGCCTGCGAGCTGCGAGTGTCCATCCAGGATGGTGACGATCTTCTTCGATGCGTCGAAGCATCTCAGTGACACCGCCGCCTGTCTCCACTCCCACAGCATGCCTTTCCACGATTGTGAGGAAGTCCAGCAGCAGACATCGAACATGTTGTCATTGAGTCCTAGAGACTTCATGAGTGACAAGTGCAGCAAGGAATGCAGCATCTGCCGCGAAGATTTTCAGCAAGGGGATCAGCTTCGTGTTCTGCCATGCTTGCACAAGGAGCTGCGCTGTTTGCAGGTGTTTATCGTTCGCTCTTTGGCCTTACGGCAGATGCGATGCAACAAGGTGACAAAAACAGCTTAAAACAGCACTTAGTCCTTTTGGTATGCTTTGGGTGGTCGGCTGGATGATGGTTTTGTCATGCCATGCTACATGATGTTGTCACTGTGTTGTGTGCTTGTATGCGCGGGACGGGAAGATTGAGGATTCTTAGCAAGTATCGAGGTTTACATAGACTGAGTTGAGGTTTTAGAGGGCCCTGGCGCTGACCCACCCTCGTCAAGGGGGCTCCAACTTCTTTCTGGCAATGTTTTCTTTGCTGTGGCTGGTTCTCTCTGAGCCCTTTGTATGTATGAATCTTTAGCGACAATCGTGTTTTATTGTTCCCGCTGCAGACGAAGGTGCACGTCGCAGCAAAACGAACAGCTACTAGACGTTTTTCCTGTAGCACCTTGTGCAACAGTATTGCCTTGATTCAGACTGCAAGCACTGCTGCCTGCCCTGCAAGTACCACGCTTTCTGCATTGACGAGTGGCTGGCACGCAGCGTGGCCCGGAACTGTCCCTCCTGTTTACATTGCATCGACAATGTCAGCAGTCAAGAAGATGACATCGAGTTGATCAGTCTGTGATCGGTTAATGCAGTTCTGCTGGCTGCGCAGGCCTGCGCAAGACTGCGCAGCTAGTGGTGGTGTCTGATGCAACATCCGCACCCGAAGGGTCGGAGCACTGCATCTGAATTTCGTCGAATTTGTCCAAGGCAAAAGCGAGTGCCTGCTTGGACCAATATGTTACACGAGTCGGCTTGAACATGCTTGCAAGCCTTCTTCATCTTTCAGCATATTGCATGCGTCGCGAGAGGTTCATGCCGGGCGGATCATTGCACCATCTCCTGCACAAGGTCGGTGTGGGAAGATGCATGAACTTTCTGTCAGCTGTCCCGATCACGGAGTGTCGAGGCCCGTACCCCGCTGACGTTGGGGACGCAATCCAAAATCGCAATTCAGGCGGCGGGATCCGGGGCGCTTCATGTACTTTGATCTCGCGAGTGAGTCTGTATCTGCACAGCCTGCAACGAGGTTTGTGAGGGTGTCGATTTTCTGCACGGCCACGCACCTCCCGTGGTGCACCGGGACCTCAAATCGTCATGTCCTTACAAGGAGTAGGACTTGTGCGATGTGGAATCTGGGATGAAGTAGGCTTAGGACATGTCTGCAAGGCTCAACATTGTGCTGGACCGAATCTACAACGCCAAGATCTGTGATTTCGGCTTGACTCAGCTGGGATCTTGAACTTCACACGTGCACGTGTAGCAGCAAGCAAGCCACATTACCAAAGCTTTCCGACCAGGTCGATGGAGAAGACTCACATTACTCTGAAAGAGGGCGGCAACGGAGGCTCCCCGCGGTACATGGCGCCAGAAGCCCGAAGGAAGCGGCTCTCTTTGCAGAAAGCCGCTTCCTCTCAGCTTCCTGAGGCCAGAATGCTACGACTGCAAAGGAAAGATCACTGAGAAGGCAGGTAAGTTTGCCTTCATAGACATTCTTCTACATACTTCTTCTTGTGGCTGTATAACGTTTTTTTTCTCAGTAGTCCCCGCAACCTGCCTTGCATTTGCTCGGACATCGCTACTACCGGCGGGGGTCTGCAGCTGTTTGCTTAAGGCGGAAAGACTTCAGGCGCCCAGCAGTAGAAGTACGGTCGTCGTGGTCCTGCAACCGAAGCTGCACAACGAAAGAAACCATGCTATCGCTGCGTGCCACCTTGTTGATGCACGTTTCCGGGGTCTGCGCGTCTAGCAGGACCCAATCGTGTGTGGATCCTGGCAGTGTGGTAACCTAAGCACTATGTCGTTGTGGTTGGCGTCGCCGCACTGTCGGCACATAAAAAAAGAAACTCTAGGATGGACACGGCATGCGTGTTCCGCATGAGCTTGGCAAGTCAGCAAAGCCTCTCGTGCAGGTGGATGTCTGGGCATTGGGTCGCAGCCTGAACAGAATGTGGACATGTACTGCCAGACTGTTGATTGTGCTCATGTTCGTTGGTGTCCGTCCTCGTCATGCGAGGTTGCATTTTGGTGGAGGTGTTCGGTGGCCCGCTGCCATATGACGATTGCTCAAACATCCAGCAGATTGTCGCAAAGGCCACGACGTAGCCCCCTTCCCGTGAAGTTGCGTGTGCATTGGTTTAAGTTTACGTGTACTAGGACCTTTGGCACAGGCACAGGGGTGAGTGTTGGTAGTGAACTTGCTAAGGTCTTCGGGCTTGTACTGTACTTGTGATTACTTGTGCACACTTCCACAAAAGCCCCTTCCTCTAAGACTGCTTAAGGGACGGCATGTCGTGACGTATCGGCTATATCATTACGCTCACACTATGTGCCCTGCTTGGCACTTTGCTGCTGCAAAGGCCTTAGTGATTTTGCTAAGGTTTCATATCCAGGAGATCCAGGAGTCCGTTTGACTCCCTGCTTTCAAAGCTTGAGAATGGGTTGTCCGCAATATTAGCGAAAGAAGGGTGGGACTGGCAACAAGAAGCCCACACACATGTTTGTTGAGCACGACGTCAGCGAGCAGCAGTACGCTTTGGAGCGCTCGACGGTTTTGCCAAAGCCTGACAGGGTCGAGTCACAATCAGCCAGAAAGCACAAAGTTGTGAAAGCGGGGGAGCAGGCAATATGGTGGCACCACGGTAAAGAACCCAAGCAGAGCCGACCAGTTTTGACCAAGTCCATGCAAACTCTGCAAGGCAATGCAGCAGGACACCTCCAAGTCGGTCAAACGATTGACAAGCTTTGATGTTGCATAGTACCACATCGTGCCTTCGTTCGTGATCAGCTGCCCTGCACCTGTCTCAGCATCGGGGGTTTTCATGACCCTTCGAAGTGGTTCTTTAAAATAGCTTGAGCTTCAGCCATCACCTTCAGGCAAGGAACATCATCGATCTTGAAACACACCTTAAGCCTTAAGCCCATCAATTCCCCAAGCACCATCTTGTCCGTGGCCCCGGCAGAGAACAACAAGCTTCTTGTGTGCAGTGCTGCAGCATCGCCTCATCAAGTGTCATGAACCCTGCATAAGGAGAAGCTGTTGATAATTACACTATAGCAGTATGACTCGTAAGACTCTGACTCTGGCCTGGAGACGGCAGCAAGAGTCCCTGTACCTCTCTGATTCCGTCCGCAGAAGGAGTCTCTCAAATGAAGTCAGTGAAGCCTTCGGCCGAAGATGTGAACCGGAAGTGCGATGGTCCAAGCCTGAATGCTTAACTGTGTTGGAAAACGGCCGCAGACTTTGAATACGCTTCGTAAGCAAAGCTCCCACAGTGTATTGGTCAAGCTTGGGGGTGGGGGCTTGGACGGGGCAGAGCTGGTGCAGCTGCAGGACCATACGGGGCCCAAAGGGATTGCCGTGAGTTCTTCTGCGAGAAGCCAAGATAATCGGAGTTGCCGATCTTGAAAATTACGTAGTTTACGAACCTGAGCTCCTGGATTCGAACGCCTGCCAGTATTGCAGAATCGAGCTCTGTACGCCATAGTCTATACCTGATGATCGGGCTGTGCTGTGCTGGTGGGATTGTTCTACATGTGTTTGCAGGCCCTGCCAGCCTCGAAGGGTTACCATTTTGTCGCTCGCAAGTGATCTGTGTAATTGCGCAGACAGGGGTGGGTGTGTGTGTGTGTGTGCGCGCGCGCGCGTGTTTGCTTGCGCAGTTCGGTCACCACAAGGCAGTCGGTTATTTGCAGAGACAGGTGCTGATTGATAAGCAACTGCCGTACATCCCGCATCATCTTCCTGCCGGGGTGCGCCCTATCGCCGACCTGACCTGTTAAGACCTGTTCGAACGACTTCGACTGTTTGTCTGTCGAAACCTTGCTATAACAGGTCGAGGATTGCTTTCAGTTCGATTTTAAGCAGAGGGCATCTGCCCAAGATGCGGCAGCCTCAACTGTGATCTCATCGATCCTTTGTGCGACTCTTGGAAGCTTTTGGAGCCCCGAAGGCTCAAGCAACTGGTCCGATTGTTGCCATGATCATTGCGTTACCCATGAGCCAGGTGTACTCCCGAATGAAATTGCTGGGATTGCCAGGAGAGCTGACCCACTTCTGCGCGAGACTGGTAGAGTCCAAAAGCCCGACGACCCCCTCGTGTTTGAGTGTTGCCAGCAAGTCCAGCAGGATAGCTCGAAGAGTTTGCCTGACGGTTGCGGCTCCAGAACTCGCCAGGCCAGGCAGGGAGGGCCTTTCGTTTTCTCTCATTCTATGCAACAGCTGGCAGGTCATTGTAAATGATTGTGCATATTCCTGCAACTGGCTCGCATGACTCGCCTGGCAAAGGGCTAACCCTTTGAATCAGGCAGTTTCCATGTGACGCATGTAGCAGCGCAGCTTACATGCAGCAGCCACGTTAATCCACCACCCGTGCCATCGAAACGATGCAGTGCATGGGTTCGTAGACGCGAAAATCGCGCATCTTGCTGCTGCTGGGTGCAGCTCGCGGTCAGACCATCAGCAGTGTGCAACAAAAGCCCCAAACGCGCCCATGCAGCCAGCTTGACTTGTTCCTGTTCTTCGTCACGCGGCACGAGGTCAAGTTCAGTTGCCCCCTGCGCAGCGCTCAAGCCGTCTTGTTAGCATGCTGACATCATTCTTCTCAAGCAATTCTACAAGCGAGCAGTCACAGCAAGTGTTTCAATCTGTTGCTCCGTTCATGATGGAAGATGGAGAGGCCCGTGGTGTATTTTGCAGGTCAGTCTAGGCCTGATGCGAAGCGGGACATCTTCTACACTAAGCCATGACTTAGCGACACATGTGTCGCACTGGCCTGCAGGCAGTTAGTTCACCCACCGCAATTTTAGACGAGCTTCTGGCCCAGGACAGAGTCGGGCTTATGCGGGCAAGATCCTGCATAACATGAGCCATGCAGTTGCTTCGAGGAGGAATACAACCTGGTGAGGGCTGGTGCAGCTCTGCGAGTCTGCGCCTCGAAATCCGCTGTGGAACGGCTGAGTCGTCGAAGCCTTACCGCTCGAAACTCTGAGCGGCAGCCTTCGGCATGGCGAGTGGCTGACGGAAGACAGAACATCCTCAACCTTTTTCTTAGACACTTCGGAAGCTGGGTGTACAAAGATTTGATGCAAGCTGCAAGCGTATAACTGCTTTCGTGGTTTTTCGTTGTACAAGCAGAAGTAGTGGAAATACGTGTGTGTGTGTGTGTGTGTGGGTGACATCGATTGAACTTGCTTTGGATTTGTTGTTGTGGCAGTGACGAGAGGCGTGCAGCTGTTCTATTGACCTTCGCGGAGCTGCCGTGGCCTCAGTGGAGACACTCTTCTGCAGCGCACAGCAAAGGTGACAGCAGAGTATTGGCCTGACGAGCTCGAGGAAGCAGAGGCGGCGAGCACTGCGGTTGAAGGTACTCGTCTCCTCTCGTTGCGTGTGGCCTGACAGGGCACGCTCAGCCCGATCTCACAGCAGATTGCCGACCTTTGTTGTGGCCTTACACTTGCGGACCTGTGTTTGTAGTGCTGGTCGTTCGCTGTCCAGCCCAGCTTTGAAGACCCATCAGCACGTGCGATAGTGCTCCTCGGCGTGGACCGGCCAGCCCCCCGCCCCCCTCCCCTGCCCGGGACGTCACCCTCCCCACATCTCGCTTCTTTACTGCTGGTGTTGGTGTTGTTGTTGTTGTTGTTGCTCTTGTTATTGTTCTTGTTATTCTTCTCATCATCACCATTCTTCTCATCATCACAATCTTAGTCTTCTTCTTCTTGTTGTTGTTCTTCTTGTTATTGGTCTTGTTGTTGTTCTTATTAACTCAAGCCGAGTCCCAAGCTTGTATTTACAGTTGCCATAATCTCTCGAACATAAATTTGAATTTCGAACCGCCATATCCAATACGGTCCAGCGAGTGCTGACCTGAACCGCACGCCGAACCGAACCAGCTCGCTGGGGTGCAACCAGATGGCGTCTCGTTGTCAACGTTGTGGTTCTCATAGAAGTTGTCACATCGGCTACTGCTGCCGCTTGCGGTGCGTGGTTGCAAGATTGATTGAGTTGGTTTCCAGGCGGTGAATTGGAAACTTGCTGCGGCCTCAAAAACCATTGTTCTGGCGTGCTGATGCCTAGTAAATCCCATGCGCCAACATGCAACCAATGCGTGACCCCCGTACATGCTCGTACGGGAAATAGGGGCCATCCTACCCACTCCCTCTAGAGCTTAGGCCTGGGAAGCCTCAACTCCTGGCAACAGCACGACTATCATCGATGCAAGGCGCAGCCGGGTGTGATGTCACACTCGACATGCAAGAGCCTGTAAATGTACAGTGCAGCCCGCGCACTCAGAGGAATTTGCACAGCAGATAGACGAGGAGTCGATCAGGGTCGCCTGTCAGTTTCTCTACACATCCGCATTCCTTAAACTCATGGAAAGGAGCCGTAAGGCTAACCAAGCATCCAAAGCGTCAGGACTCTGAGGACAATTCTCCCAACTGGATCCTTCAAGATGCTGACGAGGCCGCTTTTTTGGGTATGCGGCATGGTGTCACGGAAAGTTCTTGCAACAGAGCGCTGCTATAGGACGACGAGAGCCGGCCCCACGAAGAGATCGCGGTTCAATCGAGCACTCAAGGCCGTGTCGTTTCGGCGTCACGGGATGATTTTTCCTGCATGTGCTTAAGGAACCGCTCGAGTGATGCCAACGTCTTCTCGGAGGCCCGATTTCTGTCAGCCCGACGGGTCTACTTGCGATGCCGGGGATCGTGGGTTCCTCGCGACCGCCGGCATTTTCCTAGGTCAAACGGAACGTTCAGGACAATGCAGTGAATGCACATTTCTTGGAAATGCAGGAGTGTGGGCGAGTTGGAATTGGAGAGAATGGAACTGCCGACACTGATGAGACCCCGTGCACAGGCAACTGTCGAAGAGCGGTAATTTGCTAATTTGATCAGACGGGGTACCAGGTCGGTCTCCGCAAGATACCGGAGGCGAAGATTTTGTGCCGAAAGCTCAACGATCTGCACATTCTGCTGATAGCGTGACAAGCAGCAGACGCGCCCTGAGGCCAAAGTGCGCAAGAGGAGGCCAGTTTTCAGGTGTATGTGTAAGTTTTGATCACGTTGCGGAGACCCGGTGAACCTCTGTACGGAGGTGCCTGCAGAGCTCGAGGCGCTGAGATGGCTGTATCTCCTTGTGACGCTTAGGGTGACCAGGGAAGCATGTTGGTGGCATGAGCCTTGAAAGCTCTCACATAATGCAGCAAAGAGCGAGGTGCGATGTGAACGGACCCCCAAATGCTCTGAACGATCGTCGAGCAACGGGCGCGTCTTTAAGCCATCATTTCCTGTCGCGGATGGTTCTGACTTGCCTAGATATTGTGTAGATGGTTTCCTTCATTCTTTTGCCAAAGGTGGTCGCGCTCTGATCATATCAAGTGAGAGAGCATTGGTCGCAGATAGAAGTTAGAAGCAAGCCACGCATAATGAAAAACGAAGAGCAAAAGGGAGGAAGCTATTGAGAACGGCAGGAAAGGACAGAAGGAAAATAAGAAGGAAGCATAGGGGGAAGGAAGCAAGGAAAACATAGAGAAGACGTTGCGTGCTTACGTCGCCCCCGCTGCGCAAGGGAAGCTGCTGCCTTTCGCACGAAATTGATTTCCCTCGCTGCACCAGGCATCCTTTGTTGATGCCGACGTAGATCCAGGTGCAAGAACATTTGATGTTTCTGCAAACCAAAAGCAACACCCCAGAGCCGTGTGCAAACTTAGTATAGATGTGTTGCAGGCGCTGGCACAGATGGCAGCCAGGCGGTGTTTGTTTCTCATGACTGCAACTCTGGATGCATGCCGACGTTGCTGCCAGGTAGAAGACTTGGAGGCGTTGCTGGCAGAATGCCGGAGGCACGTGCCTGTCCCAAGTGCGATTGTGCATACAAACGACAAGCTTGATAGGATGGGCGCCGGAATGATGCAGTACTGATTGCATTGATCTGGGTAACATTTGCCGATGTTCTCCCACGAATCAGACGGCTTTGTTTCATACAAGCTAAGTAGGAGGCTCCCGCGGAGCTCGTGTAGCAGCGAACAACTTTCACTCGGCGTCGAAGACGCGGATTTCAAGCTGATCCAGCTGACAAACAGTGCCAGATGTACCCAGAAGCAAGTTTCGAGAAGGATTCCAGTTTTTGGCTCAGCATTCACTTCGTTTTCAGCATCCCTGCTGTCGGCTGGCCGGATCGAAGGACATTGGAAGAAACAGCTCGGCATCGGAAAAGTGTGCGCATCGAAAGCTTTGTGCGAGGTCGTGCCGAAATTACTCCGTCGTGATGAAGGAAGTAGCTGCCAGCCTGTGCCTGGATAATAGAGCTGGGTGGCTTACACATGGTATGCAAAGCCAAGCCAGATTCAAAGGAAAGAGAAATGCCAAAGATATGTCACTCCAATGCTATCGGGGGCTCCGGCCTGCCGAAGTGTCCAATGTCCGAGCCTGCTCAATTTGCAGATCAAGGCTCCATGCGATCCATCAATGATCGGCTACACAGTGCAGAAATCCTGCGGCATTTGCATGTGCAATGCTTTTGGATGCTGAGGTTGATTGCAAAGGCATGTCGAGGTTTCCGAGCGTACGTTGTGCGTTTTTGGGACCAGTAGGTCCTCAACATTGCGTGTGCCGCCTCTCGCCACTGCTTCGCAAAGCCGATTGCACTGATTGCAGCACTTGACGCAGCGAACTAATGTCAACTCCGGCTTAATAACCCCCACTACCAAACAACTTGAGATCCGGAATAGTTTGGTGTTTTCTTTGGAAGTGATGATTTCACTTGTTTGGGGGGTGGCTTGGGTCTAAGTTGTTTGGGGGCCGGGGCTCTCAGTAGTGGTACAGTACCATAGTAGCTAGTAGCACAGTAGTAGTACAGTAGCACAGTCGTAGTATGGTAGTAGTAGTACAGTAGTAGTGCAGTGGTAGTACAGTAGTACAGTA